CTATCCAAAATATGCCATAAATAAGGTACATTTAGCACTTGGGATTTTTTTTTTAATAAACGGTTTTCAAGCTACATGTCCCAGCCGTAGTTAATGGTGGGGTATACATATGTCCCACACGTAACGATCGAATTGCTATAAGCACACCTACTATTCTGGTAAACTTTGTTGTATGAAACAGATTTTACATCGTATGGCACAAGATAAAGCATTCTTTGCTTAACCCAACATTAGACATTGGGCACCTCATATTTGTTCTTTTCTGCATGTTCATTAGTGTACATAGTTGTTCATTAGTGTACATAGTTGTTCATTTGTGTACATAGTTGTTCATTTGTTTTCTTTTTTGTGTGTTCGTTTTCTTTTCTGCATGTTCATTTGTTTTCTTTTCTTTATGTTCATTTGTGTGCATAGTTGTTCATTTGTTTTCTTTTCTGTATGTTCATTTGTGTGCATAGTTGTTCAATTGTTTTCTTTTCTGTATGTTCATTTGTGTGCATAGTTGTTCATTTGTTTTCTTTTCTGTATGTTCATTTGTGTGCATAGTTGTTCATTTGTTTTCTTTTCTGTATGTTCATTTGTGTGCATAGTTGTTCATTTGTGTGCATAGTTATTCATTTGTGTTATTTTCTGTATGTTCATTTGTGTGCATAGTTATTCATTTGTGTTATTTTCTCTATGTTCATTTGTGTGCATAGTTATTCATTTGTGTTCTTTTCTATATGTTCATTTGTGTGCATAGTTGTTCATTTGTGTTCTTTTCTGTATGTTCATTTGTGTGCATAGGGAAGTCTTGATTTTACAACTATTGGAAGACAATTTCGAGCATTCAGGAGATTCTAAGTAACTTTTAACCCAGCAGTAATTTTTGAACTTTCATTGGGACATGCATCTCCCGCTAGTAGTCAAAGGGTTAATCAGTTTTGGTAAAGCACGTGAGGGCTAATTGCGTAAGAAGTAAGCATGGTTTCGAGGAGGATTTTCTGAAGAAAACAATCTTATATTCATGCTATATTTAACGAAGGTATATCTGTTTGGGAAACATATATAATGTTATATACCAAATACCAATTATATATATATATATATATATATATATTTGATATTTAATTTTCCAATTATAGAATTTAAAAAAATCAAAGTTTTCGAATGCAGGCTTAAAAAGGTATTATAAGTGCATTATTTCTGGACTTTCAAATAAATAATTTATTCTCCAACGGATTTAAATAGTTTCCTTTGCTTAACATTACTTTGTATTTTACTAATAGTCGAGTTTTATATTGCTTTCTTTAACCCTCGTGGTTGCTAAAAATGGTATGTTATGAACTTGAACATTTGAAAAATTTTTTTTCCAGTTTTATAATGGTAAGCAAACAACTTTGTTTCCACATCAAATGATCGGCAATTTCAGCTACCCGTTTCAAATACTGCATTCTATTTTTAAAACAAGGCGACATAAGCTAACTCTTAACTTAAAAAAACAATCTGACAATATTTTATACTATACGTGTTTATTTCCCCGATTTTAAAATAGATGAATGAAACTCAAGTGCATGGATTTCATTTTAAAGCTGTTATCACAATTTTTGCACATTTCTCTCGCTATCGCTCAAATTTTACCGAATTTTCAATTTTAATTTGATATATTAAATTAATGGGTACAGACCCATTAATGGATACATAGGTTCCAGTTAGTGTTTATTAACATTTTTCGGATATTGTTCGTTGGTTAATTAATCGGTGTGCTAGTTATTCAGACTCGCCAATATACCACGAACAATCTACTGGATACCTTTCGGTTTCGAAATCTTATACTTTCGGCGGGTATTGTTCGGCATTCGCACTGAAAATAACAGACAAACTTCTATTGTTTAAAGCTTATCTCAGAGTCCCTAAAATTCCGACAAGTTAAGTGATGACGAGTTATACCCGGTTGCAATTTATTTCCCCATATTGCTCATCACCCCCCACCAGCGGTAGAGCGATAAAATGGTTGAACCCTGTATTTAGATCTGGGATTGAATCCCGCAAACGGGCTGGCTGCATGGTTGGTTTTCGTATTTTTCCTCATGTGTAACGTGTATACGAGGCAGTTCTCGTAAAAAGTCCTCCACGAAGGCATCTCTACACTATAGGCAGTTAGCCCTCGAGTTCTGTTGTCTTAATTGACTTAACCTCTTACATCCGGCTGATATCGTTCGGCATTCGCATTATAAATAACATTAGACTTCGCTTCTCGGCCTTTGTGGCTAAGATTAAGTATGTAGACTTCTAGTCTTTGCAGCTTATCTCTGCCTCCTTAAAACTTCCAGAAATTAAGTGATCACGATCTGTACCACGTTGTATTTTAATCCTCCATTTTTGCTGATCTCCGCACACACCAGCGGCTGAGTGTCGCTCACCAATGGTATTTCGGCCTGGGGTTCGAATCGCAACGAAGGGGTAGCTGCATGGTTGATTTTTGTGTTTTCTCCCTCATCTAACGAGTATAAAAGGCAATTTCTCTTAGAGAAGATACAGAAAGGCCATCTTTCCCCTTATAGCCCACATATGCTATAAGGGGAAAGATTATAGCAAAGCTACACATATGCTAGACTAAATCCAATCCAAAAATATTCAGAAAGTTTACATCTGACAGGTAAGCCTTTTATTAGAAACAAGAAATTTAGCTCATTGTGTAGTAGAGTTCCTCCATTGTTGTTTAAAGACCAATAAGTATTTTCAGCTTAGTTATACAAAGTCTGAAAAGTACCCAGACTTTTTTTTACTCTTCCTTCCGCTTACGATTTGGGGACCCGAGATTCAAATCCCGGTGAACAGGCTGTCTGCATAAGACTGATTATCTGCAAGAGTATCCTGACTACGAGCCAGTTTCCCTTAAAAATTCGCCTAGAAAGTCATGCCCTCCTCGTAAACATATAACCCTGAAATCTTCCTCATCCAGTCTAATCCATTCTAATCTGCTTATTGTGCAATTAAAATTCAGAAAGATATACTGGAAAATTTCTTACTTGTAAAACGTCACCTAGTTTTTTTTTTTTCCCTTTTGCTATACGAAGTAAACGAATGTTTGTAATACATATTTTGAAAACCTTTTTCGCTTATTTTAGACTGAAAAATCAGTCTCGTTTTCAAAGATTTTTATTTAGTCTTTTTACAGTGAAAAATCCCCCTCACGAGTAAGTTTCAGTAGTTTTCGATTTGCTTGGTGAGGAACACTGCGGCTACTAGAGTATGGCGGTAAGTTACATCAACATTATATCCTAAATAAGCACTTTTAGAAATATGTTGTACGAGTACTATTCAATTTTTTTTTAAAAAAAGAATTCCTTATGATTATCTTTCATAGTTTCCCTGATAATGCTACATAATTATACGTGCACTTGAACGTGTCAAATGTTTTGAGAAGAGCTTTAACGAAAAGCCCTTCTGTTTTGCATACATTAATTTTAAACGCAGGAATTGCTATTATCTAGTTCTTATTTAGTACAGCTTAGTTCTTAGTTGACGTTATCTGAAATTAGAATTTATGTTGCATGATCATGTTCAGCCAGCTTTATTCACAAATAGACACAGTATTATTCAAAAAACTGTACCATTTAAAACCAGTTTCCTCTGAGGAGTCATTGTCTAATCACCAGTTTGTGCAGAAGTTCAGGCAATTATTCGATTATACTGCAAATTTACGAGAAGAAACTTACGCGAAATAGTAGGAATAGTTAAAGCGGAGTAAAATTTTTTTCTGTTCATTAAAAGAAAACTGGTTTTATATGTTTTATATTTCTTTCTACAATATTTTATGGAAAATACAATAATTACTACTTGATGCCATGAAATTTCTTAAGTACTTTAGCCCCCGCTTTAATTAAGCATATAAAACTTTGAAAGTTAAAAAATATTTAGACGTAGGAAGCAAGGTACTTACAAAATATTTTTGGCTCGATGATGCCAACACAGTATTCATTTAGCCCATTAAATAAGAATTATACCGCATTTGGTAAAGCAAAATCAAGAACATTTCAGATAGCAAATTTTGTTATTTTTTCCGTTACAGGGTTAATGTGTAGTAAAAGTTTCCCTAAACATAAAAGTAATTTTTAATAACCAAAGAAATAAAATGAATCACTTTAAATTTTTTTAACTTTAAACTTAGAAACAAGAAAACATTTACAAGAGAATAGAAAACTAATATAAAGTTGGCGAATAAGCAATAATGTCGGTTAAGATCTGTTAACGCATGTGTGTTAGTCTTTTTCAGCGTTTTCACACGACTTCATAGAAGAATGAAATAAAATACGACTAATAATACTAGTTGCTTGTTGCTAGAGCTAGTTGCTTGTTGTCCTGTAAAGGAAAAGATCAAATTTCGCTTTTAACATTGACCTACAGCAGAATTAAAAGTGATTCGAATACGAATGACTACATTACTTTAAGCTTAAAGTTCTTTCAACAACCAGCGGTTAGTCAATTCACACCTCGGAGTTCATGATTACTTGAAAACGCTTCCAGTCAGATTTTCCTCATGACAAAAGTGGCTACGTTTTGGAACTATAGTTGTAACTTACTGAGCCAGTGGGTTATGAATATTTGATACATTCCGAAATTTCATTTCTGAAGTGCTATTGGAAAGTTAAGAAGCGTTACTATATCATTTAATATTTTGATTTAAGCAAAACTGCGCTACTTCAATACGGATTACTTTTGCTATATATTGCCTGAACTTCAAAGGAAATGTTAAAGTTTACACATAGCATATGCTTTTGTCTATTATTAATGAACATCAAGAAATTTAGTTCCTTAACCGTTTAGCTTAAAACTTAATAAAGATAGAAATTCATGCATAGAAACATTTTAGATTTAATTTACTACCTTTTGACAATGGGAAGTAATGTAAAAATTTCGTCTCAAACAGTTAGTTCCCTCTTGCACGACTGATCAATTCAAATTCAAGTGATTGATCAGATACCAATTCTTAGTGTTTAAAGTAATACACTTTTAAATACAGAGGATTCAAAGTTTTATTTTGCTTCCATTTCACACAACTTGAATATTAAACTTATTTTAACAAATAAATTCAAAGAGAAAGCAATTTTAACTCAATTGCATATTAGTAGTTATTCAACTTGGAATTCAGGTAGTTTAAAGTCTCTGAGTAGGAGGGAAGACAATAGCACGTTAAGCAGACAACTTGTACTAAAGAGCCAGTAGAGAAAACTTACAGAATTAAGACACTGTTCATTCTGAGGTCTTTGTAGTAATTTCCTCTTGAGAAGATGTTTTCCTATATTCAACGGACTTAGGTTCTTCTTTAGAAATAGGTACTATTCTTTCATCTTTAGATTCTTGAATAACTTTCTTTGGAACTCTGATTTTTAAAATCCCATCAGAGCCGAGACTTGGCGTTATCATATCCGTTTCGCAATTTCGAGGTAACATGTAACGACGCTTGAATTCTCTAGAAACCAATGCATTTTCGTCATTTTTTTCATTGTGCTTGCCGTGGATGACAACAAAGTTACCGACAATTTTCACTTCCAGGTCTTCCGGTTTGAACTGACTAACATCTAAAGCGACTTCAAAGTGGTTGTCGTCTTTCTTGACCATAGACTTTCCAGATGCATCAATATTAGCTTGCGTACGAGATCTCACGAGCGTTCCACGGTAGGTAGGAAAAGATGGTAGAAGGTCATTTTCATGCAATTCATTTCCAAAACACTGATCCATTATACATTGAGGATAATCAAAGATATCCCACCAACCTCTTTGAAACAACAGCGGAAGAACAGACTGGAGAGACATGGTTGACAAGAACTTTCAGGAGCACAAAGAATACTTGTTAAATAACAGGCTCACAATGCTTCCGGACTCACCACTGGTAAGGGGCTGACATTTCTTGAGCGCCTGTATTTATACCGCTCTTCTTCTATTTCCCGCTCTAGCAGAATACTTAGTTTTTTTTCACTTATCGCTTCCAATTTGGGTAAGTGATGTTAAATGCTTCCTTAGTATTATATTTTTATTTGGCGAAGTATTGGCGGCTATAATTACATTTTGAAAATACTTCTTTCAAATTTTATGCAAATATTTCTCTTTCCAAAACATAAATTACAGCTCACGTAGAAAAACTGAAAAAGATTTATTCAAAAATTTATTTTATATATTTTTGCAATGCATAGCCTGTGTTTATTCATATTAAATTCCACAGCAGTAATACATTCGTTTTAACATTTATTATCGATAGATAATATTTGTTAATCTAACAATATATACAAAATAAGAAATTGTGAAATTATGCTATTTTATGCTTACTGCTAAAATGTTTTGTTACAGTAAGCATTACCAAATATAACTAAAGGGAAGATTAGTTTGTAAAAAGGAAATTGTGCGTATTTTATTATTAATTGTTAACTAAAAACAAACATTTACTGTTAGCCTACTGATTCGCGGTAAATTTTAGAGTTGCCCAAAATTCTACTTCTACCTCTACTGCTGAAAATTAAAAACTATTTCATAAAAGAAAAGTCGCTTTTCTTCTTTCACTATAGAAGACGAATTTATGACGAGCAAGAGAGGAACGGGAAGGTTAACATAATTGCATTTTTTGAATATATACATTCTTAAAAAAATCTTTGCATTCCTTATATTATGTAAGTGAGAGTAATTATGAAAGTGGTTATTTTAAATATATAACATTAATAGTAGGTTTTTAAGTAAATAAAAGTCAATCAAACATAAATAAAAGTAAAGATATATATGTGGATAAAAAAAGAGCGTTTCTGATTATAACCGCATTATCACATTTATTTCTTTTAAATCTCAGAGACATAGAAAATTTTCCCTGTCAGAATAAATTAGGAAGCGGTTCTTAAGGTAACATAATCAGTATTTTACCTGAATAAAAATATAAATTTATTTGTGTTTCATAGTAAAAATTATAACCATTAATTTCTATATCTCCAAAATACGCAAATGTCTGTGTGTGTGTGTGATTATGGCAAAGCCTCAAGGGCTATCTGCCTACGGAGAGGGATGCCTTCGTGGAGGACTTTCTAAGGAAACCTGTCTCGTATCCACGTTACACATGGGGAAAACAACGAAAACACCCATGCAGCCAGCCCTTTCGCGGGATTCGAACCTCGGACCGAACTACCAGTGTTCAGCGACTTTACCGCTCAGCCGCTGGTGGGCACTAAAATATGCAAATGAAAGACTGTATAGAGTAGTTAACAAATGCGATCATCTCCAAGATATGCAAATGAAAGAATGTATAAAGTAGTTAATAAATATAAAAAATAAATCAATAAAAATATTTAGTGTTTTTTAATATTACACACTTAAATATCACATAATTATTGATTACAATATTTCATAGTAATGCTAATGTTTCCTTAACAGTATGTTTTCGATGATACATTTCATACACCGTTTAAAATCATTAACCTTTTCTGCATACTATACAAAAGACAACATACTATAGAATATGCATTATTATCAGTTTTAAAGCATTGCTTCTTGTATATATCTAATTGCATATATCTAATTCATCTTCAGCAGTCATATTAACCCTCTGAGCGTTATGACCGGGTTTATCCGGTCATCAGAAATTTTGCTACTTGGCATGTATTAACTGATAATCTCTACATATAATAAAAGAAAGAGTTGGTCTGTGTGTCAGTGTGTGTGTCTTTCGTTCGCGCTGCGCGTAAGCTGATAGACCCACGGCTACGAAATTTGGTACATAGGTGCATCTAGACAAGAGCCAGTGCACCTCGAAGCGATTTTTTCAAAATTCTAATTCGATTTTTTTTTATTTTATATTTTGTGACGAAATCGCCTCATTTTGAGGCATAATGAGCTATAGAAAAGCGAGATTTTACTTTACACACTCCATTTTCACATCGTTATGAAACGTAGGCTCTTAGCTATTTTACGAACTTAAACCAACTTCCTTAAAAAACCAACTTAACATAAATTTCTTAAAACAACTTAACTTAAACCAACTTAAAATAAATTTCGTGTTTCAATAAATAGATTAAATACGAATTTATTTAACAAAGTGAGTTTAACACCTTTTCAACGGGATTTTTTTAAAAAAGTTTATTTTGAAAAATGTACAGTTTATTTTTCTTTGTTTTTTGGACAAGTTAAACTTTCATCCTTGCAACTGCTTTTGCAAACAGAATTTTGGAAAAATGATAATATTTTGTTTTAAAACAATTTTTAAATAAGCTTCCGAGTACACGTCTCACATCTCACATCTTTAAAAATGTGATTTTGGCAACAATTTTCCTTTCTTATTGTTGTTGATAGATTTTTGATGAAATCGCATCATTTTGAATAGTTTTCATTCTTTAGAAATAGGGTTTGGAACATTTTCATAGTATTTCTATGTCACTGTTTTTTAGAGATTGGCTATTTCATTGCCATTTTTTTATAATAGATTTTTAACTTTTTTTTTTTTTTTTTTTTTTTATATAAAGTTGTTCTGTAGAGTAAAGTTCTGGCGGAATTTTTTTTGTTTTTTGAGTTCCTTTCATGTATTTTTGCTTATTCCACTATTTGTAAGATATTGAAAAGTTTTACATGATTTTTTTCTTCAACGGAAAGTTGGTTAATTTTTTATTAGGATAATAATTTTGTATTAAAGGATATAGCTTATTTCATCGTATTTTTCTCTGAAAATATAAGATAAATATCATAATTATACTTGCTTTTCAGAATGTTTTTGTTTTTTGTATTCTTTTATGTTAGTTATTGCTCATTTCACTTTTTTCAGATATTGAAAAGTTTTGAGTGATTTTTTTAGCAAACAAAGTTCTTAACCTCCTTTAACCATTTGAGTCTTAGATTTTGCAGGGAAGTTGAATAATTTATTTATTAGGATAATTAATATTTGTATAAGGGATATTGCTTATTTCATTGTAATTTTGTTATACGTAATAATTTTTTATGTAGTTGTTTGCAGAGTAAAATTCTAAGCAGTTTTTTAAATTTAACGTTTGGTGTTCCCTTCAGCCATTTTTCCGGTACATTTAAAAGCCAGACGAAGGCTGGCAGCGAAGCTGCTAGTTTAAAATATTTTGCTTTCTTACTTTCTTTAATAATGTAAATATCATTTTAATGAATGTAAGTTTATGAAAATACAGACTAAAATAAGTTATTATAAAAACTCAATTAATAAATGCTGTTTAAGTACTAGTCTTCATGATGGATCTAAAATCCTGTACCGCTCAGAGGGTTGGTACCAGTGCAATAATTTCTTTGTATTTTGAAAATAATGAACATATTAAAACAGCTTGAATTGTTGCTGCTTTTGCATTGATTGCATTTTCAGCAAAACCAGAAAGTGCTTAACCGTTGTATGTTATTTTTGGTTTTATATGAATTAATTCTGAGTACTATGAACACAATAATCAATTAATATGAATGATATACGATATAGCACTTAGGACGTTTTAACCAAAACACAGCGCTAATCGGGGTATCCAAATATTGCACCGCTGGAACCACAGAAGATTGGAGAACACCACTATATAATTTTTTAATCACCGGAAACACGTAAAACACCAAAAGAGAACACCATTTCACGAACACTCTATTCACGATTAGCATTCTAGCAAGCACACTGCATCCGATATTTTCTAAATGATGAATCCAAAATTTTGGTGTCTTCTTGTAGAGCAGATATTTACAAACAAAATAAGCATAAATTCCGCATTCTCACAATGATTTCTTCTCAATTCAGAGGCTTCCAAACAGGAGCTCACAGCAATGCAACTTCACTCGCTGATTGCAGTTGAAGTAAGTAGATGGGGACAGAACAATGAGAAAATTCACAGTGCGTTCTTTGATTGACAGTGCCTTACATTTGCTTTTAATATAATCAATATTATTTACATCAGTCATTGCTTGATTCAATTTCAAACATGAAGTCAGTCTTTTCAAATGCCTTACAGATGGCATCTTTACCAAATTACTTGAAAGAACTGCTGGAATCTCAAGTATTCGCGCAATTAACAACTTTTGGCAGCTAGCCAAAGTGCGCAAACTTCGATATGTTCGTTTATATAAGCAACTGTAAATAATGTACGTGGAATGTCATCGGTTGAAGAGCAATGCAGCATAACTTTCCGCGATTTAACCTTTCGACGGTTCTTCTGATAATTTAATAGAATCTTTTTAAAATGACCTAGAAGAATTATTTCAACTGAATAGAATTACGAACAATATTCACAAGATTATATTTACAAAAAGATATTTATTGCGCTCGCTAAAACATTTGTAATGTCAATGTCGCAAATTCCCGAGTGTACCGTACAAGATTAAACAAGCATTTTTGAATGTATGGAGATGGACAAAAACGTAAAACCATAACAAACAGTTCATCAGAATTTTTATAGGTATTAAATTTCGTATTTTTGTTCACAGTTTTTCTAATTTTTATGTCAACATTTATTAGTAATTTATCAAATCCATTAATTTTGTCGTTTTCCATGAAAATTGTTAATATTTTTTTCCCTTTTTCCATTAATTTTTTCGTTCTTCTTCTCCTGACTGTCGGTGAGTTTTCCTGCAGATATATTGGACAGCCTTTAAATATGCATGGATAGGCATCGTCTTTTAATATTGGACGTTTTCTCGGAATTATTAAAATCGCCTCATTTGTATCCTTGAATACATATTCACGCACAATCATATCTTCTCGAAAATTGTGCTTTTTGCATTGTATGCGGTAAAATGTGTCATATTATGTCACCATATTAATTCAAATAAATTCGCCCTTCTTCAAAAATAATAAATAAAGTCATATTTCAGTCGTGAAATAATTGCTAACATGTGATTTGCTTTGATTTCGGAAATACGATTTTTAAAAATATATTAAATGCATAACTTAATAACTTACTTTACAGATTAGTTTCATTTTTAAATATTTTGCTATAATAGTTACAAAAAAT